TATGACTTGGCTTCTTCAGTCTGCTGCTCTTAACAGCCTGGGTTGCTTTTGTCTACCACAGAGCTGTGGCCTTTCCCCAAGTGCAAAGGTGGGTAGGGGGGTCACATCCACACCATATTAATTTAAAGCACATGGCTTCCCTGAAATAGAACTACAATTCCCACCACCCTGAACAAACCAGAGTTCCCAGGATTCTTTTCGGGGGAGAAGCCATGTGCTTGAAACGTATGGCATGGATGTGGCCAAAAACAGGGCTCCTGTTCCATCTCCACTATAAGTGGCATTATGCCTCTGAACACCATTCGCTGGGATCACTGGTGAGCAGAGTACTACTGCCACTGTGAGAAGAGGATGCTGGATCAGATGGGCCCCTGGGCCTAATCCAGGAGACTCATTTTCTTATGCAACTTCATTTGCCCTAAGAGAAGGAACAGTTATCTGTAGGGCTTCCCTCACGCTTGATCTGGAAGCTGCAATTAGTCTAGAATGCTGCAGCAGGAGTAAGGAGTAAGGCCTTGTCAGCATATAACACCTACGCTCAGAGATCTGCACTGGTTGCTGATTTGCTGCTGGGCCAAGTTCAAGGTGCTACTATCAGTAGATGAAGCCCCTATCAACTTGTGACCAGTTTACCTACAAGATCGCCTTACCCCGCATGTGCCCACTTGACTGCTTTGATTGGCACAACTGGCACTTTCACAGGTGTCATATAATACCTGCACTACAAATTCAAAAACTTTGTGTGGCAGCGCCTGCACTTGGGAACCCCTTGCCTATGGAGATCAAGCAGGTCTTGCCTTCACCACACTCTTTTTCGGCACCTGCTATAAACATTCCTGTTGCAGCCGCGCGTACCTGGATACTTAGAAAGTTGAGGTCATTTCAATCTATTTTAGCCGGTTAACTTTTGCATGTTTTAAGGAAGGGTTGAGGTTTCTTATTTCTTGATTTTACGGTTTTACCTTTTGGTAAACCGCTTTGAGATTTATTCTAAATGAAACAGGATAGCTCAGTCAGTAGACCACGAGACTTTTCATATCAGGGTCTTGAGTTTGGAGTCCCACATTGGGTGAAAGATTCCTGCATGGTAGGGGTTGGATGTACAATCCCCCCCCCCGTGGCCCCTCCCAACTGTACAAATCTGTGATCCTGTGAATGAATTTGCGCTGTGGTCTAAACCACGGAGCCTCTTGGGCTTGCCGATAAGAAGGTTGGCGGTTCAAATCCGTATGACGAGTTGAGCTCCCGTTGCTCTGTCCCAGCTCCTGCCAACCTAGCACTTTGAAAGCACGCCAGTGCAAGTAGATAAATAGGTACTGCTGCGGCGGGAAGGTAAACAGTGTTTCCGTGCGCTTTAGTTTCAGTCATGGTGTCACGCTGCACCAGAAGCGGTTTAGTCATGCTGGCCGCATGACCCGGAAAGCTGTCTTGGGACAAATGCCAGCTCCCTCGGCCTGAAAGTGAGATGAGCGCCACAACCCCATAGTCGCCTTGGACTGGACTTAACCATCCAGGGGTCCTTTACCTTTTTTCTTTACCCTATAGCAACCCAACTCCAGCTGGGGAAAAAACCTTTTCTCCACTGCTCTTCAAAGTGCCCTGGCCCCCTTTCCTTCTCCCCCCGCCCCAAGCCAGGCTTCATCTCTGCACCCTCCCCACCCTCCAGTCCACCAGGCAGCCCCTTCCCCAACCCTACACGCATCGCGGCCCCCCTGCGCGCACCTGGCATGGCCTTGGCGCAGGCGGCGGCTCCCGCGCAGCCCTCTCGCTTGGCCTGCGGATACGGGTCGAGGAGGGCGCTGCGCAGGGCGCGCACCAGCTCGGGCAGGTAAGGCGCCAGGGCGTCTCCCCGGCACGCCTGCAGCAGGAGGCTGAGCAGCTGCAGGAGGCCCAGGCGCAGCTCCTCGCACGGCTCGCCTTCGCCCGGCGGGAGGCCCAGGCGCTGCGCCAGCGCCGGCACCAGGAAGGGCAGCGCCTGCTCCGGCCGGCTGCCCTGGCTCACGCCGTGGCGGGTCAGCTCCAGCGCCAGCTCCCGGCAGCGCTCGGCCGGGTCGGCCACCAGGCAGCGCGCCAGAGGCCGGAGCATCTCCTTGGCGAACACCTCCTGGAGCACCGGCGGCGGCAGCGGCCGCTCCAGGACCGCCGCGCGGAGGCCGGCCAGCGCCTGCAAGCGGGACTGCCGGGACCCGTCCTGCAGGCGGTCGAGGTGCCGGGACACCGCTTGGCTGACCTCGGCCACCCGAGGGTGGTGGTCTCCAATGGCCCCAGGCTCGTCGGCCATGCTGCCGCGTGCCCGTTGCTAAGGGAAGGCGGCGGCTAGGCCCGTTGCTAAGGGCCCCGACGCGGCTTCGCGGCCGCCGGCGGGGTTTGTTTACGGCGCCCGGCGACGTGCTTTACGGCAGGGGCCGGAAAGCGAGGACGCGGCTTGGCGTCAAGAGGAAGATGGGGGGGTGCGCGGGCTCGCTAAAGCAGCGCTAACTATACTCAATAAGCAAGGATGGCTGCCTGAGCTCTTACGCTTTTTTCTACTAAGTTGCCGCGAAGCCGCTTACGAGAGAACCCTAAAGCAACACAAAAGCGACGAGTCAATAAATAAAATGCTTTGCAATTCATAATGTCGTCGTCGTTGTTGGCATTTGTCTGTCTCAAGCGACAGTGCACCTCGGAGGGTGAAGGCAAATCCACCCCAAGCACTTCTGCCATTTCAGCCTGTTTCCTGGAAACAGACTAATTCATTTCTGGTTCCATCGAAGGAGAGCCCAGGGGAGTCCACCCAATGTCAACGGTTACTGAATTCTTGTTGTCTTGAGAGACAATGGAGTGTGCCACTGGGGGTGAAGCCAATCCTCTGTGTTGATGGCAGCAAAGTGACTTCCTTGGGACGCAAGTCTTGGTAGTGTGTCCGGAGGTCCTGGGCCGCCAGACCACAAGACCCTCAGTCTCACTGAGGTGGTCCTGTAGGAGTTGCTGGAAGGAGGCATACAAGGCTCCATGCAAGGTCTTGGGACAGCAAGGCAAGTGTGTGCCTTCGCACAGCGTTTTGTGCGCCCAAGTGGGAGTGTGGTTAACGTGAGTAGCAAGAGGAACCTCTGCATTCTTACTAGCAAAGCAGAGATTCTACTAGCAAATAAAAGGAGAATAGCTTTACATTAAAATGACAGATGATAAGAAAGCACTTTCCCTTTGCTTTTTCAGTCCTTCGTTCTTGATTTTATTTACCATTTTCCCACACATGCTGAAAAAATCATGCTCAAAGCTGCTTATGACAAAGGAAGCAGGAAGGTGTTTCAAAATCAAACAGTGCAAAAGCAACTTCATAATGAAACAAAAGCAAATGTAACAACGTACCAAAACATACACGCGATTTAAGTTCTATAAATATAACAAGATTACATTAACAACATTACTCCACCTGTAAATAGCAAAAATAACAAGGGAGCTGGACAGTTTCCCCTTGATCCTAAAAAAAAGACCCTCCCCTGCAGCAACTTGCAAGGCCTCATAACGGCAAGGAGTGAGATAGCTGGAAACACCTCTCCCATGTTTAATTGCCACAACATTGGGGGTGGACATATCAGGACACAGAAAGGGCCAGCGAAAAAAGATGGGTTACTCCAGATGTTCAGCTCCAGCTGCTATTTGCCTCTGCCAGCATAGCTAGTGATGGTGGGAGCTGTAGTGCAGCAACAGCTGGGAGGGTCCCAGGCTCCCCATCTCTGGCTTAAAATATCATATACCGTATTTTTCGCCCTATAGGACGCACTTTTTCCCCTCCAAAAATGAAGGGGAAATGTGTGTGCATCCTATGGGGCGAATGCAGGCTTTCGCTGAAGCCTGGAGAGCGAGAGGCGTCGGTGCACACCGACCCCTCTCGCTCTCCAGGCTTCAGGAAGCTATCCGCAAGGCTTGCGGGCAGCAGCCCGAAGCACGGGGCGTGCTCCAGAGCGCGCCCCGTGCTTCACACAGATGTTCGCAAGGCTTGCGGATAGCAGCCTGTTCTGCATCCCTGCCACCCCTCTTTTCTTCATTTTGGCTGCTTGGTTTTGGAAGAAGGAGAACTGTTGCTACTGTTAAACAACAGGGAGTCAGAAATCCTTGGTCATCTGCTACAAATCACGCCCCTGGTGAATAGCTGTCAACGTTTCCCTTTTTTTTAAGGCAAATTCCCTTATTCCGAATAGGATTACTCGCAAGAAAAGGGAAAAGTTGACAGCTATGCCCTGGTGTAAGCTGTCGCCTGAACCCTTTTAAGTCATGATGCCAAGAACTGAACCTGGGAGCTTCCTCATGAAAAGCCTATATTCTACCACTGAGCTATGGTCCTTCATGTAAGGGAAGTGTATTATAGTGCACAATCTGTTCACAAGTGACCCAGATGAGCATATGTACAATATATTAGTCTTCAGGACTCATTATAGGTCACAGCCTGACCTAGGATGAGTCACAACAGCAGCACTGCCACCATACAAATGTACAGTGAAATAAAAAAAATAATCCTCAGATGTATGCTTCAGCTACAGGTGGATACCAGGTCTGAAAAGACAAGGCCAACCGAAGTCAAAGTCCAGGGGGTCACGCTGTCTATCGGCTTCCTCTTCTTTAGGCTCAGGGTTTCCCCTTGCAGAACCTGGGAGGTAGGAAGAGGGTGGGGAGCAAAACTAGACCTAGTGTGTTTTGGCTGCCATTGGCTCTAGCTACATCAGCCATCAGCTCTGTCTCCAGCCACTGCTAGGCTCATTCCCTTCTGCCCTACTAGTCCCAACAGGCACCAAATCCTTGCTTCCTTAAGCCATCACCCCAGATCCTTGCCTCTCTATCGGTGCCCCAGTTCTCCCCTACCTGTTCCATTTTGGGTGAGTTTAAAATCACAGCAGCAACATCATCATCATCATCCCCCAAGCAAGTGACTGGACTAACATAACCACAAGCATCGCACAGGGCCTGGAGCATGTTCCTTCCCAGCCTGTGTGTGTCTCTGTGTGTGTGTTTTTCTCTCCATGCAGGAGGGAGGCTGAACTTGCCTATGACTGACAGCCAGCTGGGACTTCCTGTGTGTGTGGGTTTGCTGCTGCTAGCGCAACAGAGCCTTAACGCTTTGTGTGCAAGGGGAATAAGAAAAGGGGGGGAATCAAAACACAGGCAGACAGACAAATCTGGGGGTGGATAAGTAGCGGGGATCTCTTTTGCCGGGGCTTTTCTGAAAGCACACGGAGGAGGGGAAAGGGGGATTCACGAGCAGCCAGCCAGCCGCTGGAGGAGGAAGAGGAGGAGGCTGCACTGCGGAATAACGGGAGCTAAAAGAGGAAGAGGTTTGTAGCTGCCGCTGCTGCTTGTCGCTGATCCAGCAACTCAGGTATTTAGCTATGGTCCCCTCTGGCATTGCACGCGCAGCCTGCTCTTGTCCCACTAGCGCTATGGAGAGGGGATCTCTGATCTCTTCCCCCCACTCACCCTCCTCTCTCTCCATCCCTCCTTCCTCCCTTGCTTGCTTTTGGCAGCTGTTCCCCCAGCAACAATGGCTGAGAGAATTAATTCAGCACAAAGGGCTGTTGCTGATGGAGACGGTGGAAGAGGGAGGGGGGAAGAGGATGAAGGATACCCCTCCTTCTCCATCGAGAGCGAGAAAGAGGGAGAGAGAGAGAGAGACTGCGATGGTGCTTTGTTGGGGGATATAAGGAGGCATTGGGAATCCTTGGGGAGACAGCCTTTCCCCATGTATAAATCAAACCCTAGCAAGGGTTGAGGATGTTTGCGGACTGCAACCCTCAGTCTGAATCACTCACAGTGTTAAGAGATGTTGCTCTTTTGGGAAGGATGCACAAGGAAGGGGAGGAGGTTTCCCTCGCCGCGCAGCTCTTAAGGCTGTGCAATTTTATTTATTTGTTGCTCCGTTTCTCAGTTTTCTCCCAAATTTTAATCTTCTTCCAGTTATTTGAGATTCAGTTTGACAAGAGATTGGACCTGCCGTCCCTCCTCTCTTAGAAGTCTTGTGGGGATCACCTTCCAAAAATATGTGATGTCAGGTCCTCTGCCAATGGGGGATCCGTGCATGCAAAACACATCCAAATCTTGGACCTACGCTTACCTAAAGAGAGGGAAATGCAATCAGTGATTAACACCGCACAGTCCGCTCTCTTGTTTGCACATCCCGATCAATCTCAGTTGCAGTTCGAACACGTGTCCTTTTATTTTGGATGAGCTTGGCGTCTGAAATGCATTGACGGGAGGAATGGGTCATTCACCCTCTTGTTTGCTTTGATGAAAGAGGAGTGCTAGTTTATTGTCTTTCACGAACAAATATTGTTTCCTTGAGATATTTTTCTGCACTAATATCTAGAAGCATAAAAACACACACAAAAAGGTCTGGAGGTGCTATTCTCTGTACCACATTTGCTGGAGAATGAACTGAACAGTTCAGAATTTGACAAAGAATAGTATGCAATGGTTTCTTTGGAATTTGCAGAGAGAGGAAAGGAAATAGCATTGGGGGTGTTCTGTATGCCAAAAGGCTAAGCCACCACCTCACCAGGTCCATTAGATAAAGATCAGTTTCCCAAAAACCAGTGTCCAACAATTATTATGAAAAAATATTTAATAGCAAACCAGTCTAGTGCAGGCAGAGCTAGGATACTTTTTGCTCCATGATGCAGAAGGGGCAGAAGATTATGTAGAAAGATCATTTTCACTTTTTTGGGGGGCGTAAACTTCTAATGAAGAGCCTACGACTTATAACACACTGAACATTTAAGGACTGTTACATCGTAGGTTTGCTATTCAAGCCTTTGGGGTGAGAACATGCAGTGAATATTCTATGTTGCTGGCAGATGATTTGATAGGACTGAGATACTGAAAGTTACTTTTTGCCCAGTATTTGAAAACTTGATTTCTGTCCCGTTTTGTACACCTGAAGACTTTGGAGAATGGCTTATGCTTCTTGAAACACCATGCCGTTTTCTCACCCAGGTTTGTTGTCTGTTTACAGTCACAAAGATGGCTGCTTCGTCCTCTTGCAATGTGGAAGACGACGAGAGCCTGAAGGGATGTGAACGCTACGTTCAGAAGCATAATATCCAGCAGATTCTGAAAGAGTGCATTGTCAACCTCTGCATAGCAAAACCTGACCGGCCGATGAAGTTCTTGCGAGAACATTTTGAGAAACTGGAGAAGGTCAGTGATTGTCAAATATGCACAGGGGCAAAGGGCAGAAATGTAACAGCAGGGCAAAATCAAAGATACTTCCAGTATTTAGGAAGCTACTTGTTACTGACTGAGACCCTTGGTCTGTCTAGCTCTGTGATGTTTACATCACGGGAAGGTGTGAGGTAGTGGTGTTGTGGGCCAGAACCACAGGTCTTTCCTGGCAACCTCTATACATCCTGTTTGGGGTTGGGGGAGAAATTTTATTCATTTTAAGGTGAATCTACCTATTCTACGGGGGACGTGGGTGGCGCTGTGGGTTAAAGCCTCAGCGCCTAGGACTTGCCGATCGAAAGGTCGGCAGTTCGAATCCCCGCAGCAGGGTGCGCTCCCGTTGCTCGGTCCCAGCACCTGCCAACCTAGCAGTTCGAAAGCACCCCCGGGTGCAAGTAGATAAATAGGGACCGCTTACTAGCGGGAAGGTAAACGGCGTTCCGTGTGCTGCGCTGGCTCGCCAGATGCAGCTTGTCATGCTGGCCACGTGACCCGGAAGTGTCTGCGGACAGCGCTGGCCCCCGGCCTATAGAGTGAGATGGGCGCACAACCCTAGAGTCTGTCAAGACTGGCCCATATGGGCAGGGGTACCTTTACCTTTACCTATTCTACACTTTCTGAATCAATATATGAACCAGAACAAAGCCATCCTTTGAAATTTGCATATCTCCAAATTTTTCAGTGCAGTTTTCTGGCCAAGTAATGTGCACAAGAATTCATATGGTGGGGGTAAAGTGTGCATAGAAAGGCATATATTTGTGAAAGTAACATGCAGAATGCATTACATTTGTTGAAATTGCTTGCAAAAACATATTTGGTTGCGCACCAAAAGGTGTGTATTAGGAAAAATTTCACAACAGCGCTGATGAATTTCCACGAGAGGGAAAAAGGAATCACAAACTGATGTGGAGATCTGGAGAACTGAAACATGGGGAAATGAGAAACTGAGAGAAACAGAAATGGACAGATTCGCCTATCCCAAATTCATGCCCTTTCCTACTTTTTATAAACGAAAAACAAAGTGAAATCTTTGCTTACAGGATGCCTGGCCGCTTTATAGAGTGTAGTGCGGAAACCTCAGCCACCCACCACCCAAATTTCACAAAGGAATCTTTACATATAAATTAGAATATGCAAATTTCATGCCGAGTTATGTCCTTTGCTATGCCTGATGCCAAGGGCTCCCACAAGTGGGGCAAGCACTGAGCCTTGTGCGTACATCTACTGTGCGACGGTGTAAAACACCATTCATAGATGGTTCTAAGCTTTAGGTAGCATAGGTATGCTATCCCGAGGTATGCTATCCCGAGCATAGCATACCTCGGGATAAATACACTTTGGGATGAATATTTTCCGGTTGCGCTCCGCGGCAACCCAGAAGTAATGAAGTGTGTTATTTCCGGGTTTTGCCGCGTGCGCATGCGCAGATGCTCAAAATGACGTCACGTGCATGCGCGGAAGCGCCAAAACGCGACCCGCGCACGCGCAGACGCACGGACACGGGTTACGTTCACTTCGGGATGCAAATGGGGAGGTACCACAGTGGTACCTTGGGTTAAGTACTTAATTTGTTCCGGAGGTCCATTCTTAACCTGAAACTGTTCTTAACCTCTGCCGCTGCACGATTTCTGTTCTCATCCTGAAGCAAAGTTCTTAACCTGAGGTACTATTTCTGGTTAGCGGCGTCTGTAACCTGAAGCGTATGTAACCTGAAGTGTATGTAATCTGAGGTACCACTGTATAAGCCTCTAAGTTAGTGGGGATCAGGGATACCCACAGCTTTCGGGCTCTTGTCCTGGAAACTGGGAAATGTCAGCAGACTCTCTGCTAGATGCAAGAATGGGACTGTCCTCTCTGGATTCTCTGTTTGTCCAGACCTTGGGACATGCTGCCGAGGAGCCTGGTGTGGGGGAGATAAAACTGTAGCAATCTAAAAGCAACCAGCCAACCTCCGGCATTCGAAATGATAGTTTTATTTCGGTAAAGAACAGTGATTAAAGAAGGGGGGACAGAGATAAGCAGAGTACAAGATAAAATAAAACGCAAACTTAGCATCTAGCTAGCCTAACACTTTCAGCAAACAACAGCGGTCAACTTGCAAGGCTGGCATAAGCAGGAATGGTCAAGATTTTTATTCATTGTTTATATGTAAGATTTCTTGCCTGCCCTTCACCGTTAAGGTCCCAGGGTGGGTTGCTACAGTATAATATACAGTTATAAACACAGACAAAACGGTTACAGGTATTTTTAAAAAGCCAAGAAAAAGCATTCAAAAACTGTACAGTATGCCTCCATCAAATGAGGAGGGTCCCACAAAGCAAAATACTCACCAGAGACCAAGGCAAAGAGGTATCTTTGTGGTAGACAGCAAAAGGGAGATACAGGTGGTAAATGAGCCTTTGTGAGGAAGGAGTGCCACAATTTAGGGTCTGCCACAGGTAATGCCCATTCCCATTTCCCCACACTTCTGAGCATGGGTGTAGCCAGGATTTATTTGTTGGGGGGCAGGCAAGCTTTGTGTTTTTTGGGGGGCAGAACTGAGTTATCTGTGATGCAATTGGTCAGCTAGTTAAGCATTTTTATTTATTTGATTGGGAGGGCAGCTATACCCATGCTTCTGAGGCTGGTGGAAGTATCCTGCAGACCTTCTTCATGCCTGAAGACCAGCAGAGGAGGCCCTCTTGGGAGTTCCACCACCCTCAGAAGTTCAGGGGGGTTGGGGTGGCTCAGGAGAGGGCATTCTTTGTGGCAGCTCTTAGCTAGCAGAACTGTCTCCCCAGAGAGGTGTGTCTGGCACTTTTCTTGTATAGTTTCCCACCACATGCTGAAGACACATATTTTTGCCCTGGCCTTTGACGCTTGAGATATGTCTTTTCAGAACCTACCCCATTTCTGTGACTGGAATTTGTTTTAACTGGTTTTTTTTTAAATTATTGAATTTTAAATTGCTGTGTCCTGCCTTGGGACCTTATGGTGAAGGATGGATAAGGAACAACAACAACAATTTCAGAGAGCCACTGTGGTGGTTTAGTGGATAGAGTGTAGGACAAGGACATGGGACAAGAGGGTTCAAATCCCCACTCAGCCATGAAGCTCACCAGGTGACCTCAGGCCAGTCACTGTCTCTCAGCCAACCTACCTCACAGGGTTGTTGTAGTGATTAAGGAGGGGGCGGGAACCATTTATGCCACCTTGATCTCCTTGGAGGAAAAGGTGGGATATTGTTATTATTTATAATAATGAGAATCATACCAAATGAGTCTCCTTTGCTGATCTTAATACCCAAGAGGGCCTGTGGGGAGGAAGGTGGTCTTTCAGATATTTGGGGCCTAAGTTGTTCTGGTGAAGACGAAAACGAGTTAAAATCACCTCATGTGCGCTTGGGTGACAGAGGGGTGGGTAAGAGAAGCCCAACTCATAGAGAGAGGACTGTGGGGCAGGCTGAGGCAGACCAAGTGCACAGGAAACCTCCTGAGATGCTTGCTTGGCTCGGAGGTGATCATTGCTTTACTTAGGGAATGAAAGAAGAGAAAATCAGAAGGATCATCTCTTGTGTTCCTGTTGAGCAGAGTTAACTAAAGAATTAACTATCATGTTTTGGGAGGGGGGAGCGGTTGCTTGAGATGTGTCTATCCTTTGGCCCTCCAGATGTTTTGGACTACAATTCCCATCATCCCTGGCCACTGGTCCTGTTAGCTAGGGATCATGGGAGTTGTAGGCCAAAACATCTGGAGGGCCAAAGGTTGGGGATGCCTGGCCTATCCAGTCTTTCAATGATGAAGTCTTTCAAATAAGGAAAGATGCAGAAGGAGAGGTGAGATTTTGTGCAGGCCCTTTTGACACCTGAATCTGAATCTTCCTTGGATACCTCTGTGACGCTTTAATCGCAAGGTCTTTGGAAGAGGATTAGACAAATTCACAGAGGGCAAGGCTATTGATGGTGCTGTAACGCTGAGCTCCTGCACCTGTTGCATTGTCATATATGCAAAAGAACACAGGACAGATCCCAAGATGTGCAGTTTGGCTTATATTACTGACCTAGACAAGATCATTGTTTGCTGTTTTATTCAATTTATGCTGTGCTTTTCAAATGAGGTTGATTTCTAAACCAAAAAAAAACTTTAATAAAAATACAATAAAAAAAACCCCTGAGGTTGATTTCCAAGAGGAATTACAATTAAAATTGGTATGTGTGTATGTAGAAATGATCAGCTATATCAGTTTCAGTTCTCAGTTTCAAGTCTGAAATTTAGTTCTCCACATTTCTGCAGCAATTTGCTTTTTTCTTTAAAAAATCCTAATTAAAATATGTTAACATTTGAGTGCAAAATTATTCTTTAATAAACATATTTTTGTATGCGGTTTCAACTAATGTACATATTCTGGCAGGCAACTTGCCATAACGTAGTGCATTTTTGTATGTTATTTTTCAGCAATAGATTCATTGTCTGAGAGAGAGCTCAGTCAGTAGAGTATGAGATTCTTAATCTCACAGTCGTGGGTTTGAGCCCAAATTGGGCAAAAAAATCCCGCATTGCGGAGGGTTGGGCCAGATGACCCTCAGGGTCCCTTCCAACATTACAATTCTGTGATCCCGTGTCTTGTGGGAGAGGTACATGCTCTATAACAATTTTATGCACATTTCCCCCAATATATGTATTTTTTAAAATAAAAAAAAAATTGCTTGTTTGGAGCACTGTACCACAACATTTGGAGAAGCTGAATTTTGAAGGATGGCTGTGTTTCACTACTTGTATTGTTTCAGAAAGTGCAAATTAAGTCGTTTTGCCTTTAAATGTGCACTGAGCCACTGTTCTTCCCCCATCCCTCTGTGTGTGGCATTCTCCTCTGGCTCCTGGCCGTTGATGATTCAGTCCAGGCTCTTTGCTGGGCTGTGGGGAGAGAAGAAGGGCCTGGTGGATGGGTAAAGATGCTAAGGCACTTTATCTTCGACCAGGAAGTGTGGTTGTGCAGAG